GGTAGGTAGGTAGGTAGGTAGGGTATCCGTGTACTGTGACGCAAAAGTAGTTGATGCAACATAATGTAACCGAATGCAATGCAGTGTAGTGTAATATAAATATGTACCAATGTACGTATGTACACATGTGCGCATGTATGTATATGTATCGGCGGTGTGTGCTGTATGTTTTTGTGTTCCCCATTTGTAGATTTGTTTGCACACACACACACACGCCTTCCTGAGCAGAGCATGAGGAGCTCTTTCACATTGGCGTGACTGCGCTTCGTGTGGATGCTCGGCTGCGAGATTCGCTTTGCAAAAAGGGACGCAGCATGGTTTTGGGGACTTTGGGAGTTCTCGAAGCCTCGTCACTATGACAATGACGAATGTAGTCGTGTGTGACCCGGACATGTGGGAGGTGACCGGGTGTCATCCCGCAGTCCGGCCGGCAAGTGCGAGTGCCCAGCCAGGTCTGGACATGCATGCGCATGTCGAGACAGGCCGCTGAGTGAACACTTCACGATTTTGAGTAAGTTGCACAATAGCAGCTCAATAGCATCCAAGACTTCTAAGATCTCGGTCCTCCCTACTGTGGCAGTCGTGCCACGTTGCTTATCGACAGTCGCGGCACTTGTAGCAGCACTGTAGCTCCGCTGCGGGCCTGGCCCTCGGCTCGAGGTCTGGGCAAAACTGCGTCCTAGGGTTTAGGACTTTGCTGTGATAGATATAACATATAATATCTAGATAATAGATAATATATAATATATAGATATAGTATATATAATATATAGATATAGTATATTATTTATAGATATAATATAGTGCGCTCTTGCCTTGAGGGGGTGAGGTTTGCGTAGGCGCCGGCCGGCACGTTCGTCCGCGCCGAAAATGGACCCCAAACCGAACCTTAAACCCTAAACGCTGTGGTTCCGAACGCCAGCCAGAAGCCGCTTTCTGCAACCTGTAGCGGTACTCCCGGAATCATCTAGTGGAACAGGGTCCTGCAACAAAAAACCTAAACCCTTATCCTTTTTTTACGTGTGCATGTTACATGCACGCACCGCGTGCTTTGAGCATTTGAGGATGCAGCTATCTACCATCATGTCTATGAGCTGGCGGCCCCTTGCCTCGAGTCAAGAAGCGCTTTGGGGTTCGGGGTTTATACAGGATGGAGTGGGCTTGGCGAGACTTGAGCACAGTAATGCAGAGTGACTGAGCAGTTCATTAGGCCCAGGTTGGAGACATTTGGAGACAAGGGTAAAGTGAGGAGCACAGGCTTTTAGACTTGTCTCTTGGATCATTGAGGGTGCGAATTGGCCGCTGGCAACCATATCGAAAAGTGAGTCTGAGAGTTCTTTAGTGGCTATTTTAAGCTTGTTAATTCCGACTAGTAACACTTTGGAATCATGAGTACCACAGCTGGAGGACATGCTCAATGGGCTTCCGTGGGATCTCGTCTACCAGGAGTGGTGGGGCGAATATCCGCCACATGATCGTACCGAGTATGTCGGCCTGTACCGGGATGTGGCCTACCGCTGGCATTTGGTGAAGCTCAGTCTTCACTTAATCTTAGCTTGTTCAAGGGTTCATGCGTGTGATTGCACCCTCACGCCCTTCTTGCTGACATTGGGCTGATCACAGATTTTTTGTAAGGAATCGGTTGGCGGGCAAGAACGCCACGGATCTGCCGGAGCTCCTGGAACTCGATGGTGGCGTCTTCGGCATCACTCAGGACATGGCCGTCTATCCTTTCGCCTACCACGACGGGCGCAGCAAGGATGCGGATCCCGAAATCGCTACCTACAAGAACGGGCTGGCCTTCCACCAGCAGCAGAAGTTCTTCCTGTCCTGGCCGTTCGGGGAGAAAGTGCTGATCTGGGGTGGCTACGGATGGCGGGATACGAACCATGGGCCGCCAGGCTGCGATAAGTCGGACGGTGACCACTGCACGCCAGACGCCGTCTACGATGAGGACGGACACGCCCAGTGCATGCCGGCCCCAACGGTCTCTCCTCTACCCAAGTCGGCTGCCAGAGAGCGGCGGTGGATTTGTGAACACCGATGGCAGGGTGTGGCGGGCATGATGCACTTTCGAAAGGCCTGTCGACAACATGCGGTGTCAGAGAAGTGGGAAGGTGGAAAGACTGAAGGCATCGGCATCGGCCGTGTTGCCTTCCGCCTGGGTAGTGACTGCTTCGTCGCACTTACGCGTGGCAGGAGAGAGGACGAGGATGAGGATGTGGCTGGGGTTGGTGGGACTTGGGACCTGACAGGCCTCAAGATCGCGCTGCCCCAGGGTCGATACTGCGACATGTCCTCGCTCCACACGCAGAAGGGTTGGGACCAAAGCAGTTGTCCCAGGGAGGTGGAGGTGGATGAGGAAGGAGTGATCCAGCATGGCTCCGTCACACAGGGAGAGCTCCTCGACTGCACCATACAAAAGCTGCAAGAACCAGCCTACACCTGCCCGATGTGTGTGTGTGTGTGTGATTGTATATCGCATCAACACCGTGCATACACGCATTCGCACCTGTGCACCGCATGCCACTTTACAAGCCAGGGTCCCACGGTCCTAAAATTCCACTCGCAGACACAGAGTCGTTTAAGTTCTCAGGGAAGCGCATTCATCCGTGCACCCATATAGTCACAAACCCGCAGCGCACACATGCAGGATCAAAGCACGCACGGCAACACAGTTGACATCCACACTGCACGTGAACAAACATGCTCGCATAGATCCACCACTGAATTCATAAGTTGCTTTTGGGACTCGAGTGATCCGGGTCAAGCTGACAAGGATTCTGGCCATCCACGCCGGGGCCCGTGTGACCAGCCTCGTCAGTTGATCCGAAGGCATGCAGCCGCGAGGCTTTCAGGACCTGGCCTTATGTAACATGTAATACTAGCAAAATATGCAAATCAATAGGTATATGCGTGTGTGTATACAGAACACATGCATATATATATATATATACACACATGCACACACACACTCACACACATGCATCATATCAGAAGTTATAATAACATAGCATAATATGTTCGAACAGAATACAATATAATACTTTATAGTATAATATAACTGAACTTAATGTACATAGCATAATAAGACATAGCACCATATAACAAAATAAAACAACATATAGTACAATAGAATATTGTGTATTCAAACATAACATGTTGAAGTGTAGTGTAATATAACATAATATCACAGACATAGTACAATCTGACATAATGTATCATGATATGAGGGGATAACACAATATCTAATTTACCATAATATAAGACAATATACTATAATATAATGTAATACTATATCTATATATATATATGTACAGATTTTTGTATGTATGTATGTATGTATGTATGTATGTATGTATGTATGTATGTATGTATGTATATGTATATATATATATATGTGTGTGTATGTATGTATACATGTATACATGTATCTAGTTATCATAGTATATATTTCTGTTACAGGCACACAAGGGTCAGGTAGAAGTATACGTATAGGGTGCAGATGCAGATATCTTTGCATGTATGTATGCATGCATGCATGCATGCGCACGCCTGCATGCGTGCATTCATGTATGTAAACCTATATAGACGACATACGTACAGACAGACACCCAGCCAGCCAGCCAGCCAGGCCGGACGGCAGCCAGACATTCAGACATATACACACACATCTGTGTCTGTGAAGGGAGACGGGAGAGGAGAGAGAGAGAGAGAGAGAGTGTGTGTGTGTGTGTGTGCACGTATGGACATGTGAGTGCGTGTGTGTGTGTGTGTGTGCGCGTTTGTATATCGCGCAGAGTACGTTTGTATATGTTTAGTTCGACGAACATATACCTACATATTCGGGGCCTGTTGACCATGTGGTGCCGCCGGGTCCAATGACGCACTGGATCTGCTGGTGGAATTCAGCGAGTTCCTAGCAACCGCCGCTGGCTTACAGAGCTTCTGCCGGCCGCGGGGCGAACCCTTAATTCATCAACGGCTACAGCCCACTCCTGCGCAGGAAGCCTCATTAGATTCTCGAGATTCAAAGCCACAGCATGAGCATAGTATTGAGAAGCTTCCTCACGCCGACACCTTAAATCCTGATGAAGCTTACGGAGCTACATGCGGAAGAAGCGTGGTGGGGGGGATGTAGCCGGCTCTTTTTTCGTAGCGCCCGTCAGTTGGCTGCAATGAACTTCATCATGCCTGATGCACGGGGCTGACTTCACGGCACAGGGTTTGTTACCCTTTCGGAGTCCAATCCTGACAACACAACTCACAATGTGCCATGAAGAGAACGAAGCCCGCCCCGGCAGGGTTCCGGCCCCATGGTTTTCTTCAGGTTGAAGCAGGCTAGCTCGATTTGGATGCGAGGACGGCCACTACCGGCCTCGGGACTCGAGTGTTTAGCTGTTTAACTGGTTAAGTTTTTGGTTCGGGAAGAGCGGGGAGATTTGAGACCTGTATCCGACGTATAGTTGAAATAGAAACCAGATCAGGATCGAAGGACTGCTGTAAAGAACTCCCGGAAGGCGGGATGTCCTTCGACAGCACCTTTCTGGCCACCATGGCCACAGCCTGTGCCAATCGAGGTTTGCAGCAGTCTTGTAGCTGCCATCAGTAGCTCAACAAGAACGAGGCCAGCCGCCTTGCCAAAGAGTCGGAGATCTTGCAATCGGATCTGCATCGAAGGAGTCTCGGCGGCTGGCCGCCAATGCAGTGTCGTATCATCGCCAATGACACGACTGGGTGCGCCGGCCACAAGTTTGCGGCGAGTCCCAGCATCTGAAAAATCTCCAGACCAGCCCCCAGGAAGCAGCATGCCGTCGATTCGGCGAGGAGGCCAAAGACGCAAAGGCGTCTTGGGAATGTGGTGGCACTTCAAGCACCACTCGAATAACTAGGGAAAGCAGCACCAAAGAGCCTCGAAGCATTCGCTACACTCCGGGGGCCGTGCAATGAGTGCGGCACTAACTGTCCGAGTCCAACGATCTAAAGCTGAGCGTTGGAAAAAATCCGCAGGCCTCACAAAGCTTGCTGTGTCAACTGAGTCAGCAGTTTGACAGGTTCAAAACTCCTACGAGTTCTTGTGCTGATTCATCCATTGCTCAGGGTCCTTTGGCCCCACATTGTCTGAAGTAAGTAGTCTGCCTTCTGATGGTGGGGGAAGCGTTCCGCAAGTAAATGGGGAATTCAAACCATTCCTGAGGCCACCGACTAGTCGCACCCTATGAAGTGGCAGCGGAGCCGTAAGCCAACTGTCTCGGGAAACGCAGATGGCAGACATGATATGGACGGAATGGAGCCAGACAATTCTATCGCGAATTGTTTGCAGCCTCACAACACCAGCATTGATTGCGCGAGCTTTGGTTCGAGTGACAGGGCAAAGACCCGGAGTGCTCGAATCTGGAGGCGCATGACATGACGAGGCCTCCTACCACCATGGCGATTATCGCTGGCACTAACAAGACTTGTGTCAATTTGTTGGAGTGAACCGAGCCAGCCGAACGTGGAAGCTGAAGGACGACACATCGCGATTGCATTCAGCAACTAGCCAAGCATAGCAAGCAGAGCGCCAGCCATCAGAGCCAGATTCAGGTACTGCAAGCCTTTGCATAAGGTGAACCCTGAGCCCAAAAGCAGGACGAGCCCAGAAGCCGAGCCATGGCTCTGTGGCTGCTCGCCTTGGTCCTCGCGGCCGCCTGTGGCCACAGCTGCCCCGAGAGAGGATGCAGGGCTCAGCCGCTTCGCAGAAGGGCCCAGCCTGAAGGTTGACGCTGGCAGCAGTACCAGCAATAACTGTGGCCCCAACTGACTGTCATCCTGCAGGGGGGAAGCATTCGGCATGTCGAATGCATTCAGCACATCTTATGTGCGAGCGCGGTGCAGAGATGCAACCCACTTCGATTCCCTAATCATGCCGTTGCTTCTCAGCCTCCTTGTTATGCTGTGCCTTTCGACATCATTCTCTCTTTTGCGCTCGTGTTGTAGTGAACTGCGTCTGAAGATTTCGAGTCACACTCTCCGTGTCAAACTCCTGAGCCTTTGGACTCCCTGTAGCGAGTCGAAGCCGAAGTTCGGCTTTGGTTCTAGTCCTGATGCATCCCTTTCAGGCAGCATGGGCCAACCTTGTTGCAGCTCCAGGCGCGCGAAGCGCGTGCAGAGGCCCGGAGCCAGGAAACCAAGAGCAGCCTCAGGGCAAACGGCCGAAAGAACAGGGCTATGCTCAGGAATCCATTTGCTTAGTGTGGCGGCTGCAGTTATGTGATCTCCGTACATACAATAGCCCGTGGTACCTGTTGCCATCGGGACAAGAATGCCGGCACTCGTTTTAGGCATGTTGTTACTTTCGCGGTGCGTACATGGTTTCGAGTTAGCATCAGGCCCAGCAGGTCAAGGTGCGCACCAGCCACCTGGCAGCAGAGCCTGTACAGTAGGCAGTGGGTTTGAGTTTCTTGCTCAAGCTGGCAGAACCTTGCGATGCGTCTTTCCTGTGTATCTGACGTCTTGTCACAGAGGTCGTACTCATGATTTCCTTCTGCTGGAAAACAACGAGGGCAACTGCTTGGAAGCATCCAACGCTGGGTACAACGGTGTCCGCCCCACCATGCAGGCAACGAGAGCATCGGCGCAGCAAATCCAGAGATATGGAATCCAGTACATGGGTCGGCATCATGTACTACGCTATTCTCACAGTTATTGTCAGCAGTGAGTGGCGTTCTGCCTTTTCAGGAATGTGACGATGTTCATTCAAGTGTAGTTAGCGTTTAGCATGATCGAGTTTCAGGCTTGCGATTCTGACAACTTCCTGCAGAACTGGGTGCCCTGGTGTGGCTTCAGCAGTTTTCAGCAGCAAGCTGGGCCCTCTGTTAGTCTTTACCCGGTCCAAAGTCTATTGTGGGGCTTCGATAATATGAGTTTTAGATGGATGTTGCGCCAGGTTTTGGGTTCTTGTGCTGGCAGTGGTGTGGTAAGCAAAGTAAGAGCACTTTCGACTTGTGGCGGCATCATTGATCGGGCCGGCAACCCGTTGTGGCACAAAGCATCCCGATTTCCGGCGCAAAGAAAGATAAGACAGAGACTCGCGTTTTTCAGCCGCTCGTATAGAGGCTGCAGCAAGAATTAGCCCTGCCCAAGTGACAGCCCTGCCTTCGCAGTGCCCTTCTCGAAGATGTAGACTCCGGTCTAGGCTTCCTCAAGCAAAGCCCAGCTCAGGAATATGATAACGAGACAGGCCTGCTGAGACATGCGGGCGGCAAATGCTTGGATTCTTGCTCTACTTGGCTTAGGGATGAAGAGTTCTGTGGTAAGAGCTCACTAAATGATATGATATCTTCGTCTGTATGACAACGACAACGACTCACACCAGCGCTTATCCAGTTCATTGTCTTATGACGTGATGCGTGCCAA